ACATAATATGCATTTTAACAATCAATTTATAGTATATGAACTCATATAAATTCAAATATTTCACAAACTCAACACATAATACGTCATAATTCTTCACCCATAATAATAAATCACAATCGATTTCGTAAGACCTAAAGGGTGGCATAAGTCAAGATTATATTTCTAAAACCATTTCACAAGTTAAACACATTGCCAATATGTATCATTGATTTAAATTATAAATTACATTTCACAAACATAATTAACATTCAACTATAAAGATTAAGTTTTCTCTGGTTATCTCAAATCTTTGAGAGGTCAAAGGTTTACTCCTCACTATACCAACTTCCTAAAGTTTCAACAAGATCGAATGGGGACAAATAAACCACACTACAATCATACCACAAGAATATCATCATTATCTCAATTTTAAAAATTTATCAACACATAACTCCACACACTCTATTTTATCAACTTATAGTCACTACCCATTTATACCTAATGGGTTCATTAGGTTCCACTAATGTACATTATCACTAATAACACTTTAAATCATCATTAATGCACATAAACCTCTTCCAACTACTATATTTATATCAATTTTCGGATACCATGCTCTTATGGACCAACTACTTTCAAAATTATCAATGTGGTGTTTCTATATTTAAACAACTCCCATTATACTCATTCTAACTAATGAAATTGGACCCATAATCCTATGGACTGAAAATTCATCTTCCAACTCAAACCCCATCATAACTCATCATAAATGAGGGAGAGAAAGGAAGAAGAAGGCATGATAAACTTACCTTAAGTATTTGGGAACTTCAATCTAGCCTCAATGTAATCCCACAATGTGTCCTAGCAAAGCAAAAGTAGAGCTCTTCATTTTCTACCTTTCCTCTCTTCTGTTTCCTCGCGCAGATACAAACTAGATATATCTAATTTTTGGCCATACGCGGTGGTACAACGGCCACATTGCCCTTCGCCACGACGCATGACACAAAAAAGGCTGTTGCATTCAAATTCATCCCTGTGCGTTGCGATGGATTGACCGCATGCCGCGTCATGTGGCACAAAGGATAATTCTTCACTTGTTCTTCTTCTTTCCTTGCCCGGGTGGCCTGCCATTGATTCAGACCCGCTTCTAGGGCTAAAATCACAACAATTTCACCAAGTTAAGCTTTTCTGGCCACACACCTCATTAGCTCACTAATCACCCTTATTAGGTTAATAAACTAGGATTAAATTTTTTCGAATGTTACAAAGTAAACTAGTAGTATAGCAAAATTATAATTGATGCTTTCTTGTTGCTTCTCATGCACATAACTCAAATGTAATAGATGATAGCAAATACAGGCAAAACTTACAATATTAGATAAAGAAGTAGCATCCATAGTGCATAGATTAAGATATATCAATACTTTGCATGAGGTCATATTCCACATGTACATTTCCAGCTTATTAGTACATTTGGTTCATTAATAAATTATTTTGAGTTAATCTTTTCTCTTTTAAACAATAAAACTTATTTCTAATGGTTCATTAAAGAGGGTCATTTGAAGGATGACAGTTTCAATTATATCAAATTTGATGTTTGACCAAGTTACAATAGTTGCCAAACAATAGGCAAGGGAATGCTAAGAATCATAAGAACTAGCATATTTCAACCTTAGAAGAAAAAGAATTCTCATAAACTGAGATATAAGCATGAAAATTGCAATAAAAGCCTTCCATATTAAAGTCAAAATATTACTTTCTAGTATGTGTTACTGATTGGACATTGCAATTTTATGACACTTGCTACAAATTGTTAAAAAAAAAAAGTATTGTGAAGGATGGAAATTGATTTGCCTGTAAGTTATAGGGAGATGATTGAAGCAAAGCAAGTGCTATCATATAAAAATTTGTCTTTTGAGTTGCACAAAAAGTCAAAAAGTGTCCATTAAAGTGTAAAGCAAACAATCTCCAAAAACCAAAAGTCAAAAATTGTCATATGCAATGATAAATTGTAAATTAGGAAAGTGTAAAGCAAGCTATCCCTACAAACCAAAAACAATCTAACGTCTATTTTACTACCTTGTATGAAGAAAAAATTATGCTATTAATTAGGTTTATAACATGTATAGACTATGAAGAAGTTGAAATGTACAGAGATTGTTTTCATTTATTAGAAGCAAATTATATATGACATTTTTGAAATGAATAAAGTTTTATTTTTTATGCAAATTGTGCACATTTATTTTTCTATTCATTTCCTTGTGAGTAGTTTGTCATGAGATCTATGGTATCAATTAATGAAATTTCATTACCTTATGCCTACATTTACAAATGTTAGTGACTGTCATGTGAACACAGGACCATCATATATAACATTTACTGGTAACTAATATATTGATTCATACTATTAACAAAGTTGTAAATGATAATGATCATGATGTAGAAAGTGGAAAAATATGTTGTGCTAGAGAAATTGTGTATGAAAACGTTGAATCTTGTATTTGTGCAAGTTGTGTTGGAACCTCTAAATTTGAAACTATTGAAACTTGAGTTCGTGTATCTTTTATTTGATCAACTTTTCTTTTTCTTTTTAATGATGAAGCATTTTCTTTTTCTCTCACATTTCTTTTTAGATAGTGAAACCTATTGAGAATCTCATAAAAAAAAATAAATACAAATATAATGAAGTTATAGCTTCTTGTTTTATATATAAATTAAAATTCAATACCTTTGATGCAACTCTTCTTCTTGTTTTTAAATTCGTCTCTTCCTAACCTTTGTAACATCTCTTTCTTAATTTTCCATCTCTTTTTTTAAACTCCCTTAGCATATTTTGTAACTCTATGATTGGTTTAGAAGTGTCATTTTCATCACCAACAAGAATCTCATTTTCTAACTCAGTGACACATCTATGAATATGAAGTGACATAGCTTTCTTTGATGCCAATCTTCCTATCATGCGCATTAGTTGTCTATACCTATGTGTAATGTCAAGTTTGAGATCTGCTTGAATCTCATTTTCTCTAACATCATGGACAACACTAGACCTTGCTTCTTTAGTCTAGAACTTTTTTGCTACAACTTTGTCAAACCTTTTAAAGAATTGATTGATTTTTAATTTTGGCTTCTTACATTTCTTTATATCAGCATTCACACTTTCATTAGCTTGTGTGCTCCTCATACCTAGTATCCGAGCATCCTTCACATAATAGCTAGCCCATTTCTCCTTACTATCATAAGTAGAGTTCAACTACTTAATTTCCTAGATATTAGAAGAAGATAATAACTAGTTCTAATCTTCTTCAAACTTATCTATATCAATATAATTAAACATGCATTTTTTGAAATCAGTCAAAAATTGTGACCCTTCTTTTTTTAACACCATTTTTCAAAAAATGCCAACTACATAAACAATGTTTTGCATTAGGAAGAACTTCATGAAATGCTCTTGCCATAGTCTAATCTTGGTTTGTAAATACAGTTTGAAACTTCTTTTAGATATAAGCATCCAAAAATTTTCAAGTAACCACTTAAAAGACTTGATAGTCTTGTCATACAATAATGCTACTTAAAAAATGACCACACTTCTATAATGATCGAACCTAGAAAAAAGTGCAAGGGGTTGATGATTTCGATTAGTGCTGCATGTTGTGTCCAATGATATAATTTCATAAAATTGTGCATAATCTATTAGCGTATGAGTATCAGCCCAAAAAAATTAGTGATGTATTGGTTTAAGTCCAACTAATATTTGTGGCAGAACATTAGATTTTTTGCAATTTGTTTTTGAAAATATTGAAGGAGGACATTGTACCTCTCCAAACTTCACACGTCTCTTCTTTTTGGACTCCAAGTTGTTATTCGCATCTTTCATCATATAACCATAATTTTCTTGATCATTGGCATATGTACTCATTAAATCAAAAGTGGCCCTAACTTCAAGCCCAGATCCTTTTACTGGATCTATCTCATATGCTTGAGTTTCCAATAAATTTATTTGGGATGGCAACAAGCAAACTATGTCTTCTGTATTTGGGATGGCAACAAGCAAACTATGTCTTTTGTATGAAGGAGGTGATTATGTTTCTTATCAAACACAATAATTTTAAACTTTTGTCCAAGAAGAGATACTACCATTCTTGCCTTACACTTGGTCATTGTTTTTGGCCTATTTATGGAAGAATATATTTTGTTTTTCTTTTTCCTCCAAACACCTTCCTTACAACATAAATATTTACATGTGATGATAATAAACTCATCTTTTCTACTCTTTGAAGAAGCATCCTTTATAACTTCAAATCCATTTCTTTTATCATATTCTCTCCAAAACTCTCATGCATCATCTAAACTTTCAAATTCCCTCCTTATTTCGGCTTTTGATTCACCCTCCACTTGCATTGTTCCTGCATAGAACAAAAATATTATACATACATACATACATACATACATATATATATATTTATGATGTTTATTTAAATTTTCTGAAAAAAAGGAGATAATAGAACATGCATATATCATTTTTATTTTATGTGCCTATATACAACATGCACGTATCATTTCCTTTCTTTTGTCTTGTTTTGTTATATTATATATACATATATATTATCCAATATCACATTTGGCATTTATCATTTTTATTTTGTTTTGTTAATTTCTAAAGCTATCTCAACTTTCAGTTTCTTTTTTTCAGAACAATCGTAGAGAGCTTGGGCATTCCTAAAAAAGTCGGATAAAGCTTGCCAAAAAAATGGCCAGAATAAAGACACAATGTCCCTCCCTCTAGTTCAAGAATGCTATGCAAAAACTTGGAGCCTGATGAAGGGTTAAAAAAGGCGCCGAAACAATGCGCTACTTACTCCCTCCTTCCTGTCGATTTTATAAAATGGGGTCCGAGGCGTCAAGCAGAGTTGGGTTAAGATTAACACGTGACGGACGGTCCAGATTTGTTCCTTTTAATAAAATGGTGCGCGTGGACGATTCGTGCTCAGCATAGGTGACCCCGTGCTGTTTTTCACAAAGAATCTCGGAAGTGCCTGGCGCATTCATCGTAGTCGACAATTCAATGTCACGTCCAGGTTCATTGCATCTCCAATTTTCCCTCTCCAGTCTCTTGACTGTTTTTCTTTTTCTTCTTTTCTATGATACGGCTCCCAGCAGGTTCCTAGTATTCTAATTCACTGAACCCACTCCGATCCCTTTTGATAATCACTATAGATGCCATTTTGATTTTCACGCAATCTTTGCTCTCTACTCTCACGGATAGTCCCACTTCTCAAAACCCTACTACTGCTACCACAACAATCGTTGATCGCCGAGCTGGAATCATCGACCACAGTCGTTGCTAATAATGGCTTTTACGGAGTTTCGTCCGCTGGATGAGAAGTCGCTGATTGATTACATAAAGGCTACCCCTTCTCTGTCTTCCAAGCTGGGGAATAAGTTCGATGATTTAACCATTAAAGAAGTCGGAGATGGCAACCTCAACTTCGTCTACATTGTCTTCAACTCTTCCGGGTCTTTTGTCATCAAGCAAGTTAGGATGTTGTTTTGATTCAGGCGTTCATCGAAATTTTTGAAATTGACAAGTTTCTGTTTTTGTGTGTCCTGTTTTTATTTTATTGTTCGCTTGCCTTTGTCTAAAATATTCCAATGTATATGCAGGCTCTCCCATATATTCGCTGCATAGGCGAATCATGGCCTATGACGAAGGAACGAGCATATTTCGAGGCACAGGCTCTTAAAGAACATGGTCGCTTTTGCCCCGAGCATACCCCGGAAGTTTATCATTTTGACCGTACCATGTCTGTACTCAGCATGCGTTACATAGAGCCTCCACACATAATCCTGAGAAAAGGGTTGATTGCTGGAATTGAGTATCCAGTACTCGCAGAACATGTTTCAGATTACATGGCAAACACGTTGTTTTTTACATCTCTACTTTTTCGAACCACTACTGAGCACAAGAGAGATGGTAATCCGCTACTTTTCTTTATTTGCTGCCTCATACAATAAATTGATGATGTCCATATGTCATCCGCAGTGTTTGACTGTGCAGCTATGCCTTCAGTATATGTCATTGCAGCAAATTGTAAATTTATATTTCTCAGATTTCTTTTTAATTTTTGGTTTGGCTTTATAGATCTGCTGCTGGTTGTCCTCTTGTACAAGTCAATTGTTTTTGGATGAAGTGATAGCCTAAGAATTAATTTAGATGAGAGTGGTCATTAGGGCTAGTTTACTCTGGAAAATGTGATCCACCTGCTCAGTTATCTGTAGCTTATACTTTACACCAGTGCACTTACTATATATTACCGTATGCTCAAACTTTGCATCAGAAAACTGACACAATAAATAATTGTCACTTTAGTGATTTTAAGAATATTATTGATCCAGATCCCTAAAACCTGTTGATATCTATAAATGGTTCTGCAAGACATGTTTCTTATGATTCTAAGTGGTGGCTTTACGCAGTTGCCGAATTTTGTGGGAATGTGGAGCTATGCAGGCTTACTGAGCAGGTTGTTTTTTCTGATCCTTATAAAATCTCTCAATATAATCGTTGGACTGCCCCTTATCTTGATTGTGATGCCGAGGCTGTTCGAGAAGACAATCTTTTGAAGGTTGAAGTTGCTGAGCTGAAATCCAAGTATTGTCTCTCTACTATGTATCTTCTTTTACATGAACGCTCTGTAGCTATAACTTGTTCTTTAATGATAACTTAATTTTCTGTAGGTTCTGTGAGAGGGCCCAGGCACTAATACATGGAGATCTACACACTGGTTCTGTCATGGTTACGCCTGAATCAACACAAGTTATTGATCCAGAATTTGCATTTTATGGACCAATGGGATTTGACATTGGAGCATTCTTAGGAAACTTGATTTTGGCATTCTTTGCTCAAGATGGACATGCTGATCAAGTGACTGATAGAAAAGTAAGTCCCTGATTTCTACATACATTCTGTTCCCTTGTTTTATTTGCTTGTATGATCTGATAGTTTAATATCTGTAATCTAATTTTCTCACACAATCTCTATGACCTGGCTAGTTTTCTGCAGCATTTTGTTGTGAAAATCACATGCTTTGGAACTTATGCAACTATTACTTTGGATGACTGTCAAATTATTATTGTGTTTTAATAGTAACCTTAGTTTCTTTCTTTGTTTTTTTTTTTGCCCTGTATATATTAATTGACTACTGGCTTTTATATCTGTTGCCACACTGAATTATACTAATTTATTTCGATTTCATGTCAAATGTGCTTCATTTCATCTTAGCCTATGAAAATCTATGTCATAGGCATGATAGCATTTATGAACCCTTATAGCATTCAAGCATTTGAACCATCTATGTTTCCTAAATCTGCTGCCTTCTTGAATAGCTATAGATTTGAACGTCCTTGCATTTTCTGTTTCATGTAAAATGGTGCTTTGTTATTAAATGAATCCAATTGTGGCCAAGATAAGGAACTGTGGGTGTTTAATTAAGGTTTAAGAGTCAAAAATATCCCTGAAGTGCACACGAAGGGTTAGAAATGATTCTAAACTCAATTATGGGTCATTTATATGCCTCAATTTCAAAAAATTGTTGCTCCGTAACCTTGGCATTAACTTACCGTTATGTGGCTCTCACATATGAATTTTTTTATTATAAAATATTGCTTGGGGGCCCCACTTTTTTTTTTTTAATTCCTCCTTCTCTCTCCTCTCCCCCTCTCCATCTCTCATTCCATTGTCCCCTCCTAAAATTGTGATGGCGTTCTCTGTGCATCAGCTGTTGCACAGAGAGAGAATAGCCACATGCAATCATTTCTTGTGATGGCGTTCATTGGCTTCAGCGTGTGAATCTGTTTATGCAATATCGACACTCGGGCTACAAAGTCCATTCCTAAAATTGTTGAGAGCAAAGGACAGTTGCTGGAAATATTGATATTTTCTAAAGTCAGGGCAGGTTGATCAGTAGGCTCCCTGATGCTCTCATGACTATGATGCTGGGGTTCCTCAGTCATTAAAACACTTGTGCCAAACTTGTTCGCAGTTATGCTCTTGAGAGTTCACCGGTTTCACCCTTGAAACATCAAGCCGTGATAGTTTTTGGCATCACGAGTTTGTAAACAGTTAAATAAATAGGGTTAGTTCTTTCATGAATTGAAACATTATAGTTCAACCAACTCACAATGACAACATGTTGAATTCTTCGTTTGAAGAAAACCAAATTCCCAGTAACAAAAAATTATCAAAACATTATTACTTATGGAAGAGGTAAAAAGAAGACAACATATTCTAACTAGCATTGTCACTAGAAGTTGTGATGCATTGTCTTTGTTTAGAAGCAAACAAGTGTCTGAAAGATGTGAAGGCACCAGGAATCTCATGACTTTTTTATCCATAGTAATCACACAGTCAATCCATCCAACTTTTTTTCCAATCAAGTTGAAACTAAAGGACCTAGTTTTTCCTCCTTTTGTCCTTCTTCCTGCTCATCTCTCTCCCTCTTCTTCTCTCTCCTCTCTCTCCTCTCTCTCCCCTCCATTCAATCTCCCTCTCCTATCACTCTCCTTCTCATCTCCCCCCTTCCTCTCCTCTCTCTCTCTCCTCCATTCAATCTCCCTTTACCCTTTCTCTCCTCCACTTTCTCTGTCTCCCTCTTCTCGTCCTCTCCCTCCTCTCCATTCAAACTCTCTGTGTGTGCGTGTGTGTGTCTATAGAGAGAGAAGAAACATGTAGAGAGAGGGAGAGGGAATGGAGGACTCGAAAGAACATGCAGAGACTCGGGAAGAACATGCAAAGAATGTCCTTACTCTCTTTCATTCTCTCCTCTCCTCCTCACTCTCTTAATGTGATGTGGCAGCCAATCTTGCATGAGCAAGCCCTTCAAACACCTCAACGCTCATATTCGCCTTGGAAGTCCTCAAGTCACGCCCGAATGACACCTTTATGTCACCCTCCTTGATGCCATTGATGAGCCACTCTCGGAAGCTCTTAGCTATGGCTTTTGTCGCAGCAGGTGGTGAATGTGGAGAAGGAGGAGGTGATGGTAGAAGATGTGAATGGGGAGTCACTCACTCGCCATGTTACTTGCAACAAGGTGAAGCACAGGATGCAGTAACGTTTAAGGGGATGGAGCTTTTAGAGAGAGAATGACTGGTTCAAGAATGACTACTTAGAGATTAAAGACTGATTTGAGGACGTGATTATCAGTGGGGTTGAGAATGTGAGTGGTGTGCAGGTTGAATTGATGTTATATAGCAACCCAACGATGAAGGAGGCAGTGGTGGCGGCGAGGCTGAATGAGCTTTAGGGAGAGAGAGAGGGCGAAAATGTGGAGCTGCCGGAGGGAGAGAGGGGAGAAAGAGAGAGAAAGTGGAGGAGAGAGAAAAGAATATTTTATAATAAAAAATATTAAAAATTTAAATGTGGGCCCCACAAATGAAAAAATGGATGGAAAAAAATGAGGGTAACGGAGCGAAGAATTTTTGAGGATGAGAGATATAAATAATCAATAGTTGACTTTAGGGTCATTTGTGACCTTTTGTGTATATTTCAGGATATTTTTGACCCTTAACCCTTTAATTTAAGAAGTGACAACATAATACCATGTCGGATCTATGAAGTCATAGCCAATTGATCCTAAATACCCCATGTCATGCAGGCATATAAGGAGTGGCTTCTTAAGACAATTGAAGAAACTTGGGATCTTTTTCACAATAAATTCATTGCTCTATGGGACAAGCATAAAAATGGTCCTGGTGAGGCATATCTTCCTGCAATCTATGAGAATCCTGAGGTTCAGCTGCTTGCACAGAAGAGATACATGATGGATTTGTTTCACGATTCTCTAGGATTTGGTGCTGCTAAAATGATAAGGTGAGACTACATCAAAGACTTGTATACTTATCTCGATGTTATGTTATTTTTATCATCGTGTTATATGATTTCTGTGTTTTGTCATCCTCGGCTCCATTGCAAGATTTTCAACAGCACACTAATGCATATAGGCAAACACTTTCAAGCATCAACATATTGCTATTTTAACTGAGTAGCTCACATTTTTTACACATTTCATAGTTATTAATAGCACACTGCATGTAGTAGTTTTTTTTTTTTTTTAAATTTTAAACCTCAGTAGCTAGTAGTTCAATGCTATGGCTTTTGGCACTGCAACACTTGTGTATCACTGCAACTTTTGCATAGCTTTGCTATGGTTTGTGTACCCTTACATATGAATAGGTGCACAACAGCCTTGAGTGATTTTTCAATAGACAGTGCTATAGATTCACATTAAACAAGTTATAGATCTCAATCTCCTGGTAGATATAACGTCTGTAGTGATATTTGACTTGATGTTTATTGAGAAACTACATCATGCACTAATTGGTCCTTAATGTGAAGTGAACGTATACAGTACTTGAAAGTCCTTGTTTTAAGCTTTCTCCATAATTATTTGATTGGCAGGAGAATTGTTGGTGTGGCACATGTGGAGGATTTTGAATCAATTAGTGATGCTAGTAAACGAGCTACGTGTGAACGCCAGGCACTCAATTTAGCGAAGTTGATTCTCAAGGAAAGGAGGAAGTTTGAAGGAATTACTGAAGTTATTTCAGCAATTCGGCAGTTTTAGTCACGGTCAGCAGTAAGGTTTTTGCTATCTGTACTTCAATGGAATATTGAGTCTCCCTATAATCAAATCTCTCACGAACCGCATGATATTGTTGTCGTCAATATTAGATACAAGAGAATAATTTTGTACTCAATAGTAGTATCTTTTCAAGTGTACTGCAATAGAATCGTGAGAAGAGAGTGACTGGTGTGCTGCATCAGGAGATGACCGATATATATGCCCATGGATTGGCGAGCACCTAGCCCCTGGGTTAAGCCAAGTCATGGAGCTGGGTTATCATGGAGATTGAACCAGGGTTATGATGTCACTGCTTGTTTTGTATAGTACTGTATTTTTCCAACTTACGGGATGTCCCGGAAGGGACAATTGGACTACTTTTATAGTTTGAGGAATGATAGTGACGGTACCGAACAAGAGGATGAGAAGTGGTTATGGCGGCGACTTCTTTGAGCGTTCCTTGGAAAACATGTGGATCATCTGTGGAAAGACTATAATGCCAAATATGGCAATTAGGAAGTGTTTTGTTAGCTAAGAAGATCCGCTGGTTTAAAGAATAATCAAGATGATGCATGTTATGTGTACTTCATCGTTTGTGCGTGTGCAAAGGAATACAAATGACTTTATAATGGAGATTTGGAGTCCATGTGAAAGATTTGCCAATTTCAAATTTAAATTCCTTCCACCTTATTGTAGGAAGGTAGTGGATAATGAAAAGAGGAGATTCTTAGTTGTGTACTGATTTTACCTTCCGTCGTTAATTGTTTCACTTTGCATTCCAAAAAAAAAAAAAAAAATCCCAAAGTTTTTGAAGAGATTTAATTTTAAATAAACATTATTTGCTTAAAACTTGAAGTGTAATTTTTAGGGAAAAACACATGCAACTCTTCTGGATCAGAGTTGGATGAATCCTAAAAAGTTATTATAGACGTCTGGCAGCAAATGTTGTGAATACAACTATGGTTTTCGCTCGTTCAATATTCTTCTGTTACAGTATGAAGGTCATTGGCAGGTAATGTAAGTATCTTCGATATATTTCATATTTGATAGAAGAATGCTGATGACACCTTGATATGCAAACCATATCGAGAAATATGTATCTAGAGCGGCAATTTTAAAAGGGAAAGCTTATTTTTGAAAGAACAAATAGGGAACATGATCTTGTGAAGGATTAAGTTGAGCAATACAACATTTTAAAAAAGCAATAAGATAAGATTTGACTATAGACTAATGTGAATCCAAGATATGATCAGAAACTTCGTTGGGGTAACGAAGAACATGATGCGCAGTGTGCGTTAGGGGTTTGCTGTCTAAATCTGGAATAAAATGACGTGTGAGAGTCCATGATTTGTGTTTATTCTCTGTCTGCATTATTTTGGCCAATGCCTGCATTAAATCTTGCCGGTTTTTTCTTTGTTGGTATTTCCGTGGTCATGTTTCATGGATTGTTGTTCTACTAAAGCTAATTGTTCCTCTGAAAAGAAAGAAAACAGGGACTACAATATGTTGGTGCTCTTAGTGAGTATGATCTTCATCCGTATGTCTTTTCTGCCTTCTCTGCGTTTTATAGTGACTTAGAAAAATCCTGGTGTTTTTCCCCACTTCACATTGTGAAAGTCCAAGTACTTAATCGTAGTACTTTATGTAAGTCTAGGTTTTTTCATGCATATTAGTTGACTGTTATATTTGTTTTCAAACTGAATCATATTAATAAATTTGATATATTTAATATGTGATACTTTTCTTGTAGCTTGTGAAAACCCATGTGATGTGCGTTGAGCATTGTAGCATTTTGAAGCCCTTATAGCATTCAAGAATTTTGAAACATCTAATAAGTTTCCTAAATCTGCCGCCTTATCATGTATGATTATAGATTTGGATTCCTGTGCATTTTCTGTCTCATGTATAACTAATGATACTTTATTATTAAATGAATCCCTATTATTTTGGTCAAGAGAAGGAACTCTGGGTGTTTAAATTGAAGAGGTGGTAACATTGTACTATATCAGATCTGCAAAGTCTTAGACAATTGATTCTAGGCACAACGTGTCCTGCATGCATATAAGGAGTGCATTCTCCAGACAAGTGAAGAAACGCGGAAATTTCATTTCACTTTAAATTCATTTCTCTCTGGGACAAGCATAAAAGGGGTCCTGGGGAGGCATTTCTTCCTGCAATCTCTGACAACCCTGAGGTTGAGCTGCTTGTAAGGAAAGATGCATGGCAGATTTGTTTCATGATTCTCTTGGATTGGTGTTGCTTAAATTATGAGGTGAGACTGCAGACCAGTGACTTGTATTTTTATCCTGATGTTATGTGATTTCTGTGTTTTCTCGCCTTTTGTTCCATTGCAAAATTTTTAACAATTTGTAAATACTAGTTTAACTTTCCAATATATTGGCATAGACTTTCGAGTACCTGCTTTTTGAACTACACACTGTTGGAAATCTTATCTAGGTGACACGAATTCTGGCTCTAGTGTCCTGTATAATTTCCATGATCATCAATTGAGAAGTTATTCCTTCTGTAACCATTGCTTTTGTCTCCTAACATTTATACCATATGGATCTTGATGCTACATGATCACACATGGACCCAACCCTCCAAATTTAGGGGCTTTGGAGGGAAGGGTGCATTTTAACTATCTCTCCTCCCCTCCCTTCTTGAACCAAACGAAACATTATTAAAATTCCTCTTCACTCTAGTAAAATCCCTTTCCTTCCTTCCCATCAGTCAAACCTAACATTAACATGTAAACATGACAACGACAACCTTAATTTAAGTGATTTTGTGAAGACAACTGCTAAAGATTCACTTAAGTGTCCTTGGTCATTAATGATTTTGTAAAAAGATTATGTTATATTTTCATATAACTTGAGCAACGCTATATGGTACATTGTAAAGCATTTTGGAGTTCTTGGTATTACTAGAACTTTCTTTCCATGCTATTTAACAAGCAATAACTATGAAAATATTAACAAGGAAAGAATTTGGAGATTAACGGAAAATTATGGGACTGTGAATAACTAAATGAAAAAATTATGCTTAAGGACCAACTGACAAGTTTTTTTTACAGGTAAGGACCTTAAATTTCTGCAATTATTCTGCAGATTCAAGGTGCTTCTTTGAAAAAAAGAAAAAGAAAAGAAAGTGTAATGACCTAAGTCTCAAGTGAAGTGATTTATTCTTAGAGTCTTTGTTTCAGGCATTCATCTTAATGATTTAATTGACAGGAGAATTGGCGGTGGTTCACATGTTGAGGATTTTGAATCTATTGCTGATGCAAACGCCGGGTACTTGATTTAGTTAAGTTGATTTTTGAAGGAATAAATAAGTTTATTTAAGTGTTTATATGGTAGATTCTGATCATCAAGGAGTAGAAGGTTTTCATGTGGAACATCCATTGCATTTTGGAGATACAGGAAGACCAAGTGTTCCGCATCACGAGTTTAAAGGTGATCTGGCAAATCTGCTAGTTAGTGATAAATTATTATAGTTTTTTGTCCTCTGTAACTAGTAGATGGCGAGTCAGATGCCTACTACATTATTCTAAGATTATTTATAATTTTACTTCTCTACGTTATTACTCCCGTGTCCCGAAGATACAGATGATATGGTGACTCAGATGTCCACTCCATTATTCTAAGATAATAAACATGGATGCAATTTGCAGGTGTTCCTCAGTTTTTTCCCTATAAAAACCCCAGCATAGCTACTTCTTTAATCACAATAGTACGAGAGCTAGCTCCAAACACAGCCATGGCTCGACACTTTATCCCTTTGTTCTCCTCGCTGCTCTTAATTCTAGTAGCTATGAAAGCTACACAAGCAGTTGAATATGCTGTAACCAACGATGTTGCAACCGCAGGTGGCGTTCTCTTCCGTGACAAAATTGGTGAAGCCTATGCCATGCAAACACTAGACTCAGCAACCCAGTTCATATGGAGGATCTTCCAGCAAGATTCTCCTGCGGAAAGAAAAATGTGCAGAAAGTGAGCTTCTTTGTGGAAGACATGGATGGGGTGGCGTATGCTGACAACAACGAGATTCATCTAAGCGCAAGGTACGTTGGAAACTACAAAGGAGATGCGAGAAGAGAAGTGATTGGTGTGCTGTACCATGAGATGACTCACGTATGGCAGTGGAATGGGAATGGTCAGGCTAATGGAGGGGTGATCGAAGGGATTGCTGATTATGTGAGGCTCAAAGCAGGGTATGCACCAAGCCACTGGGTGAAACCAGGTCAGGGAGATAAGTGGGACCATGGCTATGAGGTCACAGCTTATTTTCTGGATTACTGTAACAGTCTGAGAAATGGGTTTGTGGCAGAACTGAACGAGAAGATGAAGACTGGTTACAGTGACGACTACTTTATGCAGCTCCTTGGGAAGCCTGTGGATCAGCTGTGGAAAGATTACAAAGCAAAATATGGCAATTAGGAAGTGTTCTGCAATCAGCTGATAACAAGGGCATGCATGTAATGTTAGTTTAAAGTTTAAACTTAAAATAAAGAATATGATGATACATGTATATATCATCATATGCGTGTGTCCTAAATGGATGCTGATGGCTGTTTGTAATGGAAATATGGAATTTATGTTGTTAATTATTCTCTTAGTTTTCTCATATGGATTGCCAATTTTAAATTTAAATTTCGTTTAATGTTTAAACAAATTTCTTAAAACACCGTAGAGCTTCATTTAAAATTTTAATTTCAACATTTAATTTTTGGCAAAATGTATGCAACTCTTCATTCTTGTAGCATTTATGTATTATGATGAATCCTAAGGAAAATCACTTCAAAGGACATGATTTAATTTGCTATTACACCTCTTACATATTCTTTAATGAAAAATTATACGAATTAGTGTTTTTCTCAGGTGAGTATTTTTCAAATTGGTAGAATAATGTTGCCGATAGTAATTTTATCTGTAAATCATATATTAAGAAATATGCATTCTTGGGGGACGAAATTGAAAAGCCCTTTATTTGAAGATCAAACAGAATATGATTTTGCTGAAGATCATTAATCGAGAAAATACACCGTTGATTTCCAATTTTGAGGGGAGCCAAAACAAGTTCTACTCTAGCATAAATTGATGCTCCTAGTTCATGTTCAAGTTGAAGGTTGTGAATTGTGATATTGCTGTAGCATCATAATTTTTTTCGTCAACTGAAGCATCTGAAAATATGGGCTTGGATTAAAATTTACAAAGCAAGTTTACATAAATTAAGGCTAATAAACTGAAGTTAAGATAAAAATTAGTTATTCTAATGTAAAGTAATTTATGTTTGAATTTTTTTCTTAAAAAGTTAGATTAATAAACTGAAACTTGTTTAAATGATATAATTCAAAAGCAGGTTTAAATATATAGTGATTGAAAATGACATGAATTTTATGATATATATATATATATATATATAAGAAAAATATTATAAAATTTAAATTAATATTTTAAAAATAAAAGAGTCCATATATAATTAAGAAGTATTATTTCTAAATTCTAAAAGGCTGAAATAAATTGATAAATAAGCATAAAAACAAAAGCCCTAAAAAAAATTTCTAGTGTAGCTTTAAGTTTTAGCCTAAAATCAATTTCTTACAAATTTTATTCAAACAAGATTCTTTGGATCCCATCTGACTTTTGTGACTCAAACCTCAGTTTGCTCGACCGAAACATGAGTTTTATTGGATCCAACCTTAAATTTATTTATTTATTTATTTATTTTGCGCGCACTTTCCATTTAAATTTAAAACCATGGATCTTAATGCCCCTTCATTAACGACATGTTCCATTACATCATAGTTTACCCTACTAAAATATGGACATTAGGTACTGGGGGGAAAACTATCAAGGGGCAATTTAATTGGCAAGTATTCAAGAGCAATTTTGAGTGCATGATAGGAGAGCCAAACAGAATCATGCAAAGTGGTATGTGTCGAAAATGGCAATTATTCAAGAGTGGATCTGACCCTTGGTTCCAATTTAAACATAGCATTATCACAAGCAACGCCATCATTGGCCATTACTGATATATGACTTTATTTCCACGCCATGGCCGCCACATATTCTTTTTTTCTTTCTTTCTTTTTAGCCCTCATACATAACCTTTATAGACGACAACACAGAATTGTAACACAATTTTGATGTCAAAATGGCAATAATAACAAAGAATAGCCAACATTATTGTTATCTCGTAAAGCAAGTTTTTTTTTTAAGTAAATGAAAATTTTAAATAAGTTGAGTTTTGACTCTTGAGAGGTTTTCAAGACCAAAACATATTTACAAATTTAAAAAGTACTTATAAAAATATTTACATATCAACTAATTACTGACAAGCTCTTTACATTGATAACAAGAATTTATGGTTTTTCATTAGAAAAAGTTAGATGAGTTAGGTGTCAAAATTCATCAAAATTAAAAATATGTCTTTAAATTTAAAGAGTATGTGTACTACGAGGAAAATTCCCTTGAATGCCTCAAGGGAAATTTTTGTGTCATATCAAGAGCAAACGTTCACTATACAAGGGCGTTGCATTGTGGCTTCGATGTTTTTCCGTGCTGTTGGCAATGGGCCTAGGGTGGAGATCCAAGACTCAGAGTCCACTCAGTATTGCATGTCGTTTTCTTCTGTTACTTCCGTCGTATCACATAAACTTGAGTGTCCTGCTCTGCTGCTCCCTACTCGTTAGCCTTCACTCTTGGGCACACATATATAAAGTGACTGGAATATTTCCAGAATATCTTCCTCTTGCTCTCTACCCTGTCTCTGTGCGAGGTCCCAACAAATGTATTCACTAGGCTTCACATAATTGTGAACTTTTTTAATGCAGCACCCAGGAGGCGAAGCTAGAAATTTTAACTAAAGACACCGAGTCACCGAGATGAGAGAACATATAATAATTGAAAAAAGCTAAATCTGTATACATTATTAGCATAATATAAATATTTAAAAAAAAAAACACACACACACACATATTTATATTTAATTTTATAAATATATAAAACAACAACAACAACAAGCCTTTATCCCACTAGGTGGGGTCAGCTACATGGATTGCAAGATGTCATTGTGCTCTATCATTTATCAAGCTTTTAGGAATATTATTAATTAAGAGATCGCGTTCAACAACTTTCAAGAGTGTTCTCTTAAGCCTTCCTCTACCCCTCTTAATCGGACTCAAAATTATATGTTTCACTCTTCTCACTGTTATATAATTTTATAAATATATAACAAAAATAAATATGTAACTTCTTTTTTAATTAAATCTTACTCATTAATTTTTTGTGGTATAAAAATAATCAATTATTAAGTTTATCATAAACTTTTTAGCAATTGAATGAGTTAAAAATTAGTAAATGATTAAAATGTATCCTTATAATTTAAAGTTGCATTTAATATAACAAACTCTATTAATTGCTCAAGTGGTGGAGCTACTCAATGGTGAGGGTGAGCAAATACTCCCCCTCACTTTAGAAAAAAATCATAAGTTGTATATGTAAATTTTGATACTTTGCTTGCACCTCTTACTCTTGAGATTCTGCACCTTTTGGACAAAATAAAAAATATTTGGTCTCAAAAATTTATTAGATATACTCATTCCGTTAAAAAATGTGAGACATTTTTTAAAGAGTTGGATGTTAAAAAAGATAAGGCATTTTTAATATTTTGAGGTGTAATTATTGTCTTTTTTTTAAGTACCCTTATTGATGAATGACTTTATATATATTATAGGGTATTTAATAGAGTTAAATATGAAAAGATATGATTAATTTAAAAATAGGTAATTACTTTATTAGAAGGTAAGATTTGATTAAAAATGCCTTATATTTTTGAATAGAGAAAGTATAATATTTTAATGATAAATATAAGATATGTAAGACGTATTTTACATAAAAAACCATATCAATCTATTTAATATTTTTTTAAAAAATAATTATTAATCTACTTATGTTACTATAGTCTTTTTATAATGTAATTATAATATTTTAAAAAAATTCTTAATTTTTAAATCAAATTATATTGCACCTCTTTACTCTAGATTATGGCTTTGCCATTGACTTGCTCATTAAATTTATTATTTAATTTTTTTAATTGATAAATAATGATAGCGTGGTAACTATCTCAATAAGGTAATGATGCTCAATTGCACAATATTTTTATGCCAATGAAATTAAATTATATCAAAGTTAAAACCATTTGTATGATAAATTTTAATAGCATGGCCATCTCAAAAAGAAGTAGTTTCTTCTAGAAGAACAATTTAACCATAATCCTTTAACTTTTAAATAAATAATTTTATAATAGATATCAAATACATGACATTTGATTCAATATATTTTGATATTTTTATTGTAATGTTTGATAAAGTTGTTAGTAATAATTTTAATAATTTTTTTATCAAATATTAAATGAAAACAAAATCAAATGACATCAATATTTTAAAAACATGTGTAACATCATCTCATTGAAAATAAGTAGATACTATAACATTTGTATCTTCAAAATTTATACAATCATATTATATATATATATATATATATAAAAGATTATATATATAATCAAAATGAAAATTTCAGTGTTTCAAAATTTTTATAATATACCAATTTAAGGATTGAAAATATGTAACTCTTACTTTTTACTTTAAAAAAAATTGGAGGAATCGTGACCCTCTCAGGTCCTCGTCTCCATCCCTGGCAACACTGCAACACCAGCAACTTGACCTGGTAGAAACTGACTTTGATTTCTTCTTAGACTAGTGTTGTAGTATTCATTCATTGTGTTATCTTCACCTTCATGAGGCTGGAATTTTCCTTTCAGTCAAGTCATTGCCATTGCATATCAGGATAAATGACCATCATACTGGTTTTTTGCTAAATCTCATGTCCGACTTGGTTGTTCTCGAGTTTTGTCCCTCTCAGAAACAGCTTTGCTAGAACGGGGTATCAAAATATTGGTTAATGTAAACAAAGAAGATGATGCATTTTATCCAAGTTTCCTGCCTGAATCGAAAGAAAAAAGGATGTTTGTACATGAAATAAGCTTCATATCTCGTACCACCAAGGTCCTCATTCTCATTAATCAGATTCTCGATTGGATGAGGCAGAATGCATCTATACGTTCACTCGTTGAAAATTCACCGCTTTTACCATCCAATTAGAAAAGTATAAAGATTCCATTTTCATTTTTCCAGCAACATGGTCCCTACGCTATCCTCGTACAAACGCTCACTTCACCATCTTCTCACAATGTGTAAATTCGGTTCATTGAATCGCATTTTTCCTTGTTGAAAAGTCTCCTCATCGCTTTCCCTGTCAACTTTGGTGAAGGATAACGATTCTAATTTTTTTTTTCGTTTTTGTTTTCCTAAATCAAGCACCATGATGTTGATACATGCCTTCTCCTCCCACTCCTTAGAATCTTGCTCCTGCCAACTCTGTAGTTTATTGTCGCCGCTATTGACGGTCACCGTTGATTCCCAGTATGGCTTTTACGGAGTTTCGTCCGCTGGATGAGAGAGTTCGCTGATTGAATACATAAAGGCTACACCTTCCCTTTCTTTACGGATTGGGAATAAGTTCGATGACTTATTGGTTAAGGAAGTCGGAGATGGCAACCTTAACTTCGTCTTCGTTGTCGTCAACTCTGCCGGTTCTTTTGTCGTCAAGCAAGTAAGGATTTCTCTTAGCTTCAATTGTTGATCAAAATTTTCATAGATAAGTTTGTGGGAATTGAGGACTGCATCTTATTTTGTTATAGGGAACGATAACACAACATCCGTGTAATTTTAACTTGTTTTGTTATTGGTCTTGTAGTTTTTGGTTCTCAGTGCATATTTGAAAAGGGGAAATGGAGAAGAGAATATAAAATAAATAAATAAATAAATAAATAGAGTATAAAGAGAAAAGAAAAAATTAGAAGAGAGACAAAATACTAACAATTTTTATTCAATTAAAAGTGTGTCCAAAACAAATGTGTTAAAGCACTATATGTCTGTATTTCAACTATAACTCTAAAAATTAAAGCATTAAAAGAAAAATATTCTATAAATCCTAATAATTAAATGTAAATATTTTAAAATAATTAAAAATATAACCTAGTAATATAAGAGATTAAATTTATTCAAATCAAATCTTAAAGATCATTATAATAAAATAAAAATTTTAATTCTAATTAATTTTATATCGCATCAGTCATTACAACATGCGCATCAAACAAATTTCAAACCCATCTCTTCGTCACACTAAGATATCCTATTTTACTTTTCTCTCTCCTGATTTTGAAACCATTATTGTTATTATTGTTATTATTATTTGTTAATGTTGATGTTGGAGTTTATTTATTCTTTGTGTAGTTGGGCTCAATCTTAGCTTCTCCCGATCTTGTCTTGTATTTTGTAATTGCACTATCTCTTTCTTTCTTATTTTGACATTCAGTACAAAATTTAATGACATTAATTACACCTCAAATAATTTAATATCATTAGTGCCACATCATCATCTTTTTGGACATATTTAAAAGTAGAGAGGCTAACTTTGCAAAGGAAGGAAATTATAGGAATTAGGAGCAATAAAAATAAAGTACATGAATTAATAATAAAATGTAATAAAATTACAGGGATCAATAATTATGTTTTCCTTTGTTAAATCAATTGCCTTCCTTGAGGGGGAAGAAGAACAGTCTTCTAAAAAGTTGAAATTGACTCCAATTTTGTGATCGTACAGGCTCTTCCATATATTCGTTGCATAGGAGAATCATGGCCTATGTCAAAGGAGAGAGCATATTTTGAGGTTCTGGCACTTAAAGAACATGGTCGTTTATGCCCTGACCATGTCCCTGAAGTTTATCATTTTGACAGTACAATGTCTTTAATTGGCATGCGTTACCTAGAACCTCCACATATAATCCCTGATTGCTGGAATTGAGTACCCGTTACTGGCAGAACACATGGCAGATTACATGGCGAAGACAATGTTCTTCACAACTCTCCTTTTTCGGACCACTACTGAGCACAAGAGAGATGGTAATCTTCCTCCACCACTTTTCTTTATGTGTTGCTTCACATGCTACATTTATCTCACTGTAAGTCGAGCTTTTGGATTTAGAATGTCTGGCATGCATAAACATTGCCAGCGTTGCCATGGTAATTCATGATGTTCTTTTGTCTTCTAAAACTGCATGATACTGTCATTGTGCCTATGATGAGTACAAATTTAAAGGGAGAACCCATCCCAAAAAATTAGCCTGTTAGGTAGAAGAATTTCTTGAACTTATAAACCCTACATTACTTATGAGGTTTTCTAATGTGGGACTCATGACAATGCCAGCCCATCAAGAGCCAATGTCCTTGGTAGCTCCACTTCACGACATTTCACTTGGCCTCTTGCCAGTTAAATCCCTTCGTGGGTAGCCCTTTTTGTGATACTAAAGCCTCAATAAAAGCATTAATGTGACAAACACAAGCTCAAAGGGAGAGCTTATCTTAAAAAATTAACTTATTAGGTAGAAGAGTCTCTTGAACTTATAAATCTCACATCACTTGTGAGACTTCTCGATATAGGACTCATGACAGTGCATGACAGTGCCTTTAGTACCTGTCATTGGGACACAACTTTGTTTAGTAATCAGTAAAATTCTAATAGTTTGTTATAAAAAAAAAACTGTAAATTTCTAATTTTGTTTGTTTTTTGTCTTTTATCTTGTAAGGCCACTTGTTCTGATTCTGTTGTATTTGATACTGAGCCTAAAAGTTGAGTGAGTCCATAGTGGCATGTAGGCTAATTTATATCGCAACTAGGGGTCTTCCTGTTCCGTTGTATGTACATTGCCTAATTACGCATGCTTCCAATTTTACTGATGCTCATAGTTTTCTTTAGAAAACTGATATTAAAAAAAAAGAAAAAACTCATTTATGATTTTAAGATTATAATTTGTTGTTTTACCTGTTATTGGTGATATATGTGTATTAAGAGTTAATTAGTTGCTTATAAGCCTAATGCATATTGGCTTTATGCAGTTGCCAAATTTTGTGGGAATGTGGAATTATGCAGACATACTGCACTCGTTGTTTTCTCTGACCCTTACAGAGTTTCTCAATATAATCATTGGACTGCTCCTTATCTCGATGATGATGCTGAGGCTCTTCGAGAAGACAATTCGCTGAAGCTTGAAGTTGCTGAGCTGAAATCCAAGTATTATGACTAGGACAAACTTTCCATCGCACTAAGCAGTAATATTACTTTAATTTCTTCTGTGAAAAGAATTTATTTATATTCCTGTAGGTTCTGCGAGAGGGCCCAGGCACTCATTCATGGGGATCTACACACTGGTTCTGTCATGGTTACTCGGGAATCAACTCAAGTTATTGATCCAGAATTTGCATTTTATGGACCTATAGGTTTTGACATAGGAGCATTCCTAGGAAACCTGATGTTAGCTTTCTTTGCTCAAGATGGACATGTTGATCAGGCAAATGACCGAAAAGTAGGTCCTAGTTTCTCGGCTTTTGATAACTGACACTTTTTTGGTCCTGCACTAGCATCATGACTTAGTTGAAACTCGCTCTGGTTTCTTCTTTGACTGGTTTATTAATGTTTATCCACTGTATCTTCATCTTTATTGAGCCGGAATTTTTCTTTTGGTCAATTTATTGTCATAGCGTATGAGGACATATAACATGATGAAACTTGACATGTACAAATCATTGAGGGGGAGAAACGGTTGTAGAACTTGTTTAACCACAGAATTTCATGCAGGCATATAAAAAGTGGATTCTTAAGACAATTGAAGACACTTGGAATCTTTTTCATGATAAATTCATTGCACTTTGGGATGAGCATAGAAAGGGTCCAGGTGAGGCCTATCTTCCTACGATTTATAACAATCCCAAGGTTCTGCTGCTTGCACAGAAAAAATACATGGCAGATCTGTTTCATGACACTCTTGGATTTGGTTCAGCCAAAATGATAAGGTGAGACTAAAGATCAGAGATTCTTATTGTTACCATTATGATATATAAATTCCATGTTTGTATGATTTGGGCTTGTTTTAGATTTGTCAATAGAAAGGAAAAATGTCACATCATGTCTTTGAGGCATGGAAAAGAATTTGAATAAACTATTGAGCTTTCGGTAAATGTCAAGTCTGGACTAGGATTCATCCTTGTGTCAGCTGTGCATTTATATCATGCACTAGTTGGTCCTTAATGTGAAATGGGCGTGTAAAAACTTTCAAGTAGTTGTCTTAGACAGACTGGTTGACTTTCTCCTTTAATTATCTTACTGATTTAGGAGAATCGTTGGTGTGGTACATGTTGAAGATTTTGAATCTATTAGTGATGCTAGTAAACGAGCCACCTGCGAACTTCGAGCACTTGATTTTGCCAAGATGATTCTCAAGGAAAGAAGAAAGTTTGAAGGAATTGCTGAACTTGTTGAAGCTATTCGGCAGTTCTAGCCACAGCAAGGTTTTGCTGTCTGCAGCTTCCATGTTTGGTTTTGCCGTCCAGAACTAGATTTCTCTGTTTCCATCAAAATGTGGTTTTGATGGTTTCTAACATGAAATCAATCACACCATATATAGTGAATTTTCCAATATGAGATTCCCTATGTACTGCATGACTTTCTTATTGTCAACGTTATGAATAATCAACATTACCAGAGCATATTGTCACGGATGATATTTCTGTGACCGTGTAAAGACCAATGTAAAGAACGATCCGCTGGTTAGCCTCGCACAATATGGGTAAAGGGGGTGACATTAGCATTGGGGGTGTTCTGCCTTAGTTTTCGGACTGTGTGCATAACTGGTCGGGGGCTAGTGCCGCCTCCCTGATGAGCCCATGGCAGGGCGAAACCAATGTGATCCGTATGTGGTAAGGCTTGTCCTGAGGATTATGGGGTCCTCTAGGACGCCGCAAGGGCGCCGTGTGCTGCGCCAGACTTTCAGCCCGTGACAGAGTGGTATCAGAGCAGGACGTACTTTACTGTCGTGTGCGCGTGGGGTCCCACGTTGGGACTGGTCGGCCTCGGCACTGCTCCAGAAAGGCTTCCGAGCAGGTGGGTCCAAAAGTGGGGACTCGGGCGGGAAGGTTGGCCGTTGTCAACTCCACTCCTGTTGGCTCGCGGGTGCGAGTGGGTCCGAAGAGTGCAGGACTCGGGTGGCCACTCAGCAGTAAGCTGATGTGTTTGTGGTAGTACTGTACGTACGATCCTTGGGCGGAGTCGTTCTCCCCTAGCACGAGGGCGTACTAGATTGGGTGTGGGAGAATGTCACGGATGATATTTCCGTGACCGTGTAAAGACCAATGTAAAGAACGATCCGCTGGTTAGCCTCACACAATATGGGTAAAGGGGGGTGACATTAGCATTGGAGGTGTTCTGCCTCAGTCTTCGGACTGTGTGCATAACTGATCGGGGGCTAGTGCCGCCTCCCTGATGAGCCCATGGCAGGGCGAAACCAGTGTGATCCGTATGTAGTAAGGCTTGTCCTGAGGATTATGGGGTCTTCCAGACGCTGCACGGGCACTGTGTGCTGCGCTAGACTCTCAGCCCGTGACAATATGCTCTCTCATTATTTCCTCAACCAATGTAGCAAAGCTTTTTCCTCTCAATAATCAATCTTTTATATTATATTGTCTGTTCTTGTAAATGCTAGAATCTGGTCTAGTGAAGTCCTTGATGAAGCGATAAGAATTTGTAATGATTTTACTCTTCTGGGGATTCCTTGGTTTTGTACAAATATCAACCTTAGCTTTTGTTCTACACACCAGTTAACTTTCCTTCCGGAAAACTAATGGTCTGTTGCACACTTGAGTGGTTTTAAATTGTTATGAGAATGTTGGTAGTAATAATAATAATCTTATTCGAAAACATTTGTCCCAAAAAAAAAGTCTTATTCGTAAACATATTACAAAATATAAATGTCCAGGTATGAAATTGAAAAACACTGCTTTCACATAGCAAACAGAGAGCGATTTCAAGGAGGATCAATGGTGAAGTATGCTTTTTTTAAGGGGCCAAATTAAGATTTTTATATCTTCTCAAATTGCCCTTCTTCTATCCCTTTAAAAAAAAAATTAATAATTGCTGCTCTTCTTCTTTTCCCGATCGAACAAGTTGCTCTTCTTTAATTGGAGCATTCTACTTCTGATTCAACAATCACCATAAATATTAATCCCTCCGTCTCAAATTATATAATATTTTTTAAAGAGTTTTTCTGTCTCAAAATATAAAATACTTTGAGTAGATTAAAATTTGATTAAATGCATCAATTTTAATATTATCCATTTTCTTTCTATGATTAATTTTTGCCTTTTTTTTTTTAATATATTAAATGATGGGTATTTTTAAAAGTTTATATTTTAATTTTAAAAAGATAAATTTATTAAATATATTTAATAAAGTTTATTGATATGTGAGATTTTATCTAAAAATGTTTTAAAATTTGAGACAGAGGAAGAATATGGTTATAGCTAAGCTACTATCTAAAGATTTAAAATCATGAATTAACAAGAATCAGATTTCTTTTTTAACCTGCTAATAAGCATCATAGCTGACCCCATTCAAATATGGTGTGGAAATGAGTAAGCAAGGTAAAAAAATAATGGACACTTTAATCCATAACCACTCCAAACGATAACTTTATTAATTTGAAAAATGGAAGAATAGGAGTTTGCAATTGAATTTAATTTATATACACGGAAATTTAATAGTGGATTAAGCGTCCATTCAAACAAAGCATGTTAGTTAAAAAAACAAAAAACAAAAGAAACAAAGAACGCATTATCTCAAGCAAATAGCGACATCATTAGTCATTGCTATTATATCATTTTACATTTGTGTCATTATCCCCATATCCTGAAGAAACAGGTGATAGAAAATTTTCAATGTTCTGCTCTAGTGAGAACATTCAGCTGACGCTCATCAAAATTGTTCACAATGACTAGCCAAATTTACTGTTATTTTATAATTAATATCCAAATGTGATGCATAGAAGAGATAATAACTTAAAAGCAGTCAAAATTAGGTGCAATAAGTCTCAGACGTGCTAACTTGAGGCATGACAGTTGTTCAGAACTTTGTAAACGATTAGCAGGAGAACAAACATATAAGCATCCATTGAGCTACATTCATATCTTCCACTTTCTTACTTTTCCATCTCTTTTAATATTTTCCTTTTGTTTTGCATTTTTCTTTAAGATGACGCTTCATTAACTTTGTGCCTCCGTTTTTGTTGTTTGAAGGACTTGTTAGCGGATGTGAAGCCCAATATGATACGGGCCTAGAGTTAGAGGTCCAGAGTCAAAAAATTTTCCCAGTCACTTCTCTCCAATCTTGAGCTCATAAATGTTTGAGAGTATTTTCTTCTTTCTCTTTACTGTCTGTGTGTTCGTCGATGCTCGTCTGTGTGGGGTGCCATTTCCAGCTAATAGAATCTTTCCTTTCTCTCTTGACGTTGGGCACGACTTCTCTTGAGCGATGGAGTTACTTCAGTGTAAGCCCACATCGTTCAAGTCCCTATTTCTGCAGTATTTATATATAAGAAACAGAGGCTTTAGCTTGTCCCTTCGGGGGCATCCGATAAAATTGGAACGATACAGAGAAGATTAGCATGGCCCCTGCGCAAGGATGACACGCACAAATCGAGAAATGGTCCAAATTTTTTTTTTTGGTTTTGTCAAATTTCGTCTCGCGATCTTTCCGTTCTTGGCTTTCCTCAGAACCCAGATTCTTCTCCGATTTCAGGGTTGATGCGGAAAAGATTATAAGCGTTTCTTAATCCGACATATTACAGCTTTCGATATACCAGGGAAAGGTGGATGTCAAAAAGATTCCAGTGATCGGAAATTTTTGTTAGGGCAACGAAGAACCTGATGCATTTTATTGTTTCCGTCCCTGATCATGTTTCAAGGATTTTTGTTTGACTGAATTTAATTGTTTCTCACACCAAAAACAAAATCCTTTTATATATATATATATATATATCTATCTGGTTCGGGATCAATGTATTCCCTTGGCTCCAGATAACTGTGAACTCTTTTAATGCAATACCAGCAACTTGACTTGGTTGAAACTGGCTCTGATTTCTTCTTAGACAGGTGCTGTAGTATTCATTCATTGTGTTATCTTCACCTTCATGAGGCTGGAATTTTCCTTCTAATCAAGTCATTGCCATTTCATATCAGGATAAATGACATAAGGCGACCTGGCATGTACCTATCATTGAAGGATTGAAAAGGTCATAGGACTTGTCTTGACATACTATAATGTCTTGTAGGCTCTGTAAGGAGTGGATTTCTAAAGACATTTAAAGATAATTGGAATTATTTCCACTAGAAATTCATTGCACTCTGGTAGGATCATAAAAGGAGTACTGGTGAAGGCCTATTTTCCATCGGTTTTTAACAATCCTGGGGTTCAATGACACTTTTGGATTCGGTTCTGCCAAAATGATAACGTGGTCATTCTTATTTTCACCTCAATGATAACGTGGGACTATTCATAGAACTCCCATGTTTGTATCATTTAAAGTTCATCTTAAAAATCTGTGTCATTTTTATCTATGTATATAGAAAGCCTGAATTCTAGTCATAGCAAGGTTTTATACCATCATCCTTTTACATTTTTACTGTCTGTTCTTGTGAGTGGAAGAGTCTGGTTGGTGCGGATATTGGTAAAGTGATCAGAATCTTTTTTTTTACTCTTTTTTAAGTCTCAGTAATTTTCTTTTCAGAGGTAGATTAGCAGATAAATGTCATGGAAAATAGTTGAAATGTACAATTGAGGAATGTAAAATATCAGAAAATTTAATTTCCAAAAGAGAACGGTAGCTAAAAAGCCTCCAAAACCATATTGAGCAGAGAAGTACGTAGTGTTACAATTTGCATTATTGTCAGCTGAAAAGTTCAAATATAGCTGAACTAAAAAACCTTTCTTTGTTGTTCTGTTTCTTTAGCATATTGGGATCAGGAATGTAGAAACAAAATAGTATGATAACTGTGACTAATCGTGATGTTGTTTGTAATGATGCTTTCTGTTCTCATTCATATTCAGTAAAATGATCTTGTTAACTGTGAAATTTACAGTGTGTGTGTGTGAAAGTAGGTTCTGATAAATTATTAGAGCCATGGAAAAAGAAGTGAGAGGTTAATGTAAGAAGGCATTGTTTTTTGGGGAAAGTTTTGGAATTTCCAGAACATGTTTCATCATTTCTTTCTCTATTATTCTTTGAAAATCGTATTATCCGCACTCACCTAAGAGACTGACTGAATTAAGCTGCATGATATTTTCTGATTAGAATCAAACTCCACTTAGGAACTTTACTCTCATTTCATCAAATCAGCCAGGTACGCTAAATATTGCCAACTTCTTTTTCCAACACGTCAGACAAATCCAAGTCAAAGATTACAGCACAACCAAACGATGACCCTGAGAAGAAAAAAATAATGGCCGAAATTTTACCAAATGATACTCATATTTTGGACCGAAAAAGCTTATGAAAAAATGCTTATATTCTGAAATGTAGGAGTATTTACTATTAATATTATATATTTTGATATGATAAGTGGATATAGATAATATACTCCTTCCAATTTCATTTATAGGTTACTTAGCTTCTAACATTTTTTTATTAGAATCAAAGAAACCTTTAAACACATTAATTTTGTCTAAAAAATCACTTTGCCCATATTAAGTGCATCATTGAAAAATTTTCTTAGTTTCATGCATCAACATTATTGAACAGAGGTGATTGTGAAAATCAAGATACAAGACGTGATATTTTAAAAGAATCGCAATAATTCCGGGATATTTCACGCTTGGAAGAAAAGGGGTTCCCAAGTTGACAATAAAAAAGAAGACAATAAATGCATTGTCCTTTTAGGTTAGGCATCTCTTATTTGACGTCCTTGAAAGTGGTCAACAATGTTTACTTTTAAAATCATTATCGCCAAACAGAGAGTGGAATAGCCAGAAAGAAGAATCAAATGGCAGTAATAATAATATCGTTGGGGTGATGAAAGCGAGAGACTGTTTTCACTAAAGATGACAATCTTCCTTCTTTTCTAAAATTGTAAATTGTGGGTGTATATATATAATATACAGTGAAATTTAAACCTGGCAATTTTGCAGAAAAGTTTATTAGTCAGTTAGAGCAACATATATAAGTTCGACATTTCCATTATAAGAATTCAGAATGCATTTGTTACATGCAGACAAACGATGATAATACGGCACATATGTATCATCTTATTCTTTAAACTAACAAGCTTCTAAGCTTCTAAACTAACAATATATCTTATGATTTTAATAAAAAATATTTATTTTTGAATGAAATTTTTTTTAATGATGATTAATAATGTAATTTCAGGTATTTTAATTTACTCCCCGAAAGAAGGGGCACTGGTGACAAAGGACAATTGACATGGTCACCGCTCAAGCCTTCAAGGTGTCGGTGGTGTTGAATTTTCCATGCATTGACTTTGACTTGAGGACCTGCTAGTGTCTTCGGAGATAAGGGCGTGCCGGCGTGCTTGGCTTTTGAAAAACAAAAGTAAAATTTAGGGAGAGTGACCTTTTAGATGAATGACAGATTTTCAAGAATTACAAACAAAAATTTTTGTGACAAGAGTTATATTTAATATTTAAATATTTATTTATAATTAAAACTCCTGAATTTGTAATAATTTATATCAATATTTTTAATTTATTTTTTTAAAAAAATTTACTGAAATTTAACTGTTATTAATTTAGTATTTTAGAATTTAATTGTCATCCTTCCTAAAATTTAAGAACTTAAAGTTTATAAATTTTATAATAATAATTTATTAATATTTGTAGAAATTGATTTTTTTCAAAGATGATAAAAAGCATAATCGTCATTGGTACTTTTTCAAAAGTAAACTCAGTCTATAATTTTTTATATTTATATTTATAATTTATTTTTAACTTTTTTTTTTTGTTGAAACTCCTATCATTCTCCCATAAAATGAGTTAGATAATGAATCATTTTAAGGTGTATTTGGTTTGAGAGGACGGGCGGAGTTTGATATTATTTTATTTGGTTTAGGAGGGAAAGAGAAAAAAAATAATTATATATAAACAGCTTTATCCTCATTTTATTAATGTTGAAATAATGAAGAAATGTATCTATATCTTTTGAGCTTATCACCTTGGGCATATTAATCAAGGTATGACAAATTTTATCCCTCTCTTCTCAATTCCCTTAATTTGGAAGGGATTCCCTCCAACCAAACACCCTTTTAATGAGATATCATTTTCCCCCTCCGAGTTTTACGTGATTCTGCCTTAATTAACATTGTTGAGAAATCAGAAGACTTGCTTGCGTGTTGGAGGTACGATAACGTTAATATTGTTTCTAGAAATTTTGAATCTTCCTCACCCATGCAAGGCTTGTTTATTTAAATTACCGAATTATTTTTTTTGGAAAACTATTGTATTAATCCTTATAATTTCATCTAATTTTTAATTAGGTCTTTAGTTCCTTTAATTGAATCCTCCATGTTATCTTCATTTGATGTGTTGGTCCCTCTCCTTCCAAAACGTTAAACTATCGTTAAAAAAGAAAATGCATCGTTTGGGGGCGAGATGAATGAGAGCAGGGCCATATGAAGGGATTTTGAGACCTAAGGTGAAATGAATAGAGGGACCAAACATGTGATAAATTATCGATTCTTATAATATTTTTTTAGCTTTTTGAACTGTAAATTTAGATAACAAAGCTTTGTAATTTAATAACTCTAGCATTTCATTCTCAATAGATAACAAAGTTGTCCATTTAATTTATCTTATAACATACATGATCTCAAATAGGATTTGAGTAACTTTAATTTTAAAAAACTTCTTTCTATAGTAGCAACTGTTACATGTATTGTCAATGATATTCTATAAGCAATACAATATTTAAAAAAATTATCTAATCTTTTGTCATAATTTAATATTTTAATTGGTTTGTTAATTTCTTCTGTTAATATTTCTCTCAAAACTTTTAATTTTAAAAATAAATCAAAACCATCAATATTAGAATTGTTATTAAAACTTAAGAACTTTTCAATATTAATACAAATTTTTTTTCAATTCATCATCATCCAAAGTTTTTAATTTTTTGGATTCAAATAAAAAATCATAAATGATTTCATATTCTAAAAATTGTTCAAATTGAATTTTAAGAGAAGAAATTGATTGATCTAAAATGTATACAAGATATTCAATACGAAAAGAAAATTATTCTAAATATAAGGTTTCATCACTCATATTTTCATCAAAATGTTTTTCCCTATGACTTATATGTTTTTCACAAAAATTAGGATTTATATTCATTTTAATAGCCTTTTTATTTTGTAAATTCCAAAGCAGATGCAAAACTATTTTCTTTATAATTCTTTAAATAAGTAAAAAGGCATTTTAGATTATTTATAGCAATATCTATGTGCATATCTATGGACTGAAGGATCTTATTAATAAAATTAGTAGCAAACAATATCATATCAGATATTCATTTCTAATAAAAACTCAAAATTTTCAATCTCATAAGTAGCTAAACACATTGCTTCGGTTTTTATTTTGGGATCTTCACTTGATTTTGATAATTGAATCAAAGCATCTCTTATTTGTGGTGCTTGAAACTTTATTGCTTTAATGTTTTCAATTCTACTTCCCCATCAAGTTTGAGATAGATTTAACAAAAAATTTGCATGCATTATCTTGCAAAATTTTCCACCGTTTGGTGGAAGAGGCAAATAAAGAATAAGTACATTGTAGAACTCCAAAAAAAAAAAAAGAGATAGCTCTAGGAGATGAGTTGGCCATATCATACAAAACTAAATTCAAATTATGACATTCACATGGTGTGTAAAATGCTCTAAGATTTGTGTCCAGTAATCTTTTTTGCACACCTTGATTTTTACCTTTCCTATTAGCTCCATTATCATAACCTTATCCCGTTATGTCATTAATATCAAGCTCATATTTTTTTAACACGTTGATAAGTTCATTGAAAAGACTCTTACCTGATATATCATTGACTTTTAAAAATTCAACAAAATACTCCTCTATTTTTTTATTGAAGAACTCATAGTATCAATACATCTCAAAATTAGAGTCATTTGTTCTTTATGACCCGCATCGAGAGTACAATCAAGAATAATATTTTATGTCTTTGAATTTTTTTTTATTTTTACATTTTTTATTTGGAAAGCTAACAATCCTATCATTTCATTTTGTATAGTATTACTCAAGTAATGAGCACGAAGTTTTCCATTTTTTATTCATTTAACATGCTCCTGCATAGTTGGGTCAAATTCTACAAGCATCTCAATCAAGCCCAAAAAGTTGCCATTATTTTTTTGATATATCTTCTCTTTAGTCCCAAGAAAGGCAAGATTATTTTTAGAAAGATATTCAACTATAGCTATGATTCTAAGTAAAACCTTTTCTTAGTGTTCCTTTTCTTTATTAATTTGTTCTTGTACGCTTTTATCAATTGTGTTTGTTCTTCTGAATCTTGTTTCTAGTTCAATCCATTTGGTCATATTAGTGATATGTTCATGACTTGTTTCATGACTTTTAAGTTT